GCTATTGAGGACTTCATTAGATTGAAGTAATGTATTTGTTGATGCAATTCTATACGCGTAGGAAGGACAGAGGAAATATAAAAACGTAAGCGATTTTTTTAGAATTATGTACAGACAGGAAACTCTGAAAATATTGGAACGCTAAAATTTTAAACTTTTAATTTTCTGGGTTTAAATTGTAAGAAGAAAGTTCTATTCAGATATTTTTTTTTCCCAAAGAATTGCCAATTTTAGGAATAGACACCCCTTCAGATTCTTCTCTGAACACCAACATCACTTCAAGTCAAAGGAAAATCTTTATCATTTCTTCTAATCTTCATAATCTTCACTTCTTACAGTTAATTTTTTTAATTTACAACATACATCATTGATCTTAATCATTTAAAAATAACCCTTTACGTTGAGTAGCTTTTGGCTCTTGCATAACTTTCGTATAAACATGGCTGATGAATGAACTGATACGAAAGTATCCATTAAGCTTGGATTGATTCAGTGGTTTGCTGTCCGTTAGCTTTTGCAGGTTATTTTAAGCCAGAAAATATTTTAAGATCGTAAAAACTTTGTGGGAGATACTGATGATTTACTGATAGAAATCCTACTAATGAACCCGATCTGAAGCGAATTTATTCCTTTCCCGTGGCTATTTTTGCGTTAGTCAATATAACGATTTGAATTGGAACTCGGCTCACCATTTTCAAACACCGTACTGTTATCCATTACAACACCCACACATGCAAACTTAAAGTACTCGGTATTCCAGAGCGATCGCCGATCTAGGTACACTAACCATCAATTACACCACTACTAACCATGGGTATATCATACCCGATTTTGAAAATATGAAAAAAATATTAAATATAAATCTTTATTTGAAATATTTTACATGCAGACACTTCAAACTTTGTACTTTGAGTTAACATTGATAGGAACTGAAAAATATATTATTTAGGGAAGAAAATCAGGTACTGAAAATTGTAATTAAAAATAGGAAGATTTGCGCTGGGTACTATATACACATGGTTAGTGTTCTAGGGTTAACTTCGGGAGCCGGTGTTTCAACGTGGTATGGCCGTAAACTTCCGTAAGCCTGGAAGTTGAATGAGAAAAGTCTGCCTCCGTGAATTGAATTCGATTCAGAATTCAAAGCTTGTTACTGAGCTTGATATGATTACTGAAACCTGAAGAAGGCTGGGCGTTCAATATTCGAAAGTTTTTTTGTTTTTTCTGAGCATAACAACCAAGACGATCATGCTGTTCTGAATAGCAAATCATGTAATCATAATAATTCATCATCTCAAAAATTCCGCGAAGAAGGTTATTCGATAAAAAACGACATCAGGACGGACTCAATTCGGAAGCGATTTCATAACAAGACCAGGTGAATCTTATTCACGTTAGATATCACGTCAAAAAATCCAGCAAAAACATCAATGTTTTTGTTTTATTATCTTGTGGACACTTGATTGCATAAAAGCTTGGTGATGCATGAATAAATAAACTGATAATTCGTAAGGAAAGCGAACGCCTATCATACAACTATAACGATATGTGATTGTATGCGGATCCGATGGGGGTACTTAATTTAGGAATTTAACTGTATTAAACGGATTGGTTTTGCAAATGGAAGTTATTTACTCGTAAAATATCTCCTCTTAGCTAGGTAGAAATTAAAGCGTTGTTTTAGCTCTTGGAATTATAACTTATTTTAAAGCGAATGGCATCGGCGCAGGACTGTAATGTTTGTCAAAAATATCGGGGTCTTAAAGAATTTAGGAAAAATCCAGTTAGATGTCATTCTTATGAAATAACAAGTCCGCCCCTGCAAATAGGAAGACTGAATAAGATTAACAAAACTAACATCTAACATGAGAATCAGAAGGCATTTAGACAGGATCTACGATGTATCGATGCATTTAGATGACTTATTACAACGAACAGGATTTCCGCTTCATCGACAGCCTTTTTATTGTAGAGATTGTTTGAGGGTTTATTGAGTCTGATGTTAGTTTCGACACTTTGCAATAAGTTCGCGACGGCTCCGGTAATTGAGCCGGCCACGACAGCATCGCAGAAATATTAGCTTCGATACAATGTCTGACTGGTCTGTCACGTGTTATGTTATCAAATTGAGAATCCCATGAACGAACCATAGGCGCATATGGTGGCATGACTATTTCCAATTTTTCTAGATAAGATTTACTATCCATAATGTGCGTAATTGGATACAAAGTACCGACACAATTTTCAGATATACCACACCAGATCATTTTTTTCTGTCGCATACACTTACAATATTTCCCAAACGCTTTTAATATATTCCCAGCATCAAACCCCAAATGTCACTTAATCTATATTTAGAACGCTTCTACAGGTTTGATGGCGAATTGAACGTGTGTTCGCTTTCACCTTCATCCATATGTTACGGGTGAGTATAGTGTAGTGTAGGGTAGATTGGGAAGATCTATGATGATCCTGAGATGCCTATAGGTCAAGATGGTTTGGTTAATTTTTTTATTACGGCATGTCAAAATCAATGGGTTATTTAATGCCGACAAGATTTTTATTGCTGGTACTTTTTTGTCCACAATAATATTGCTGGTAATATTTTTGACAAAAAATGTATTGCTGGTAATAATGTATTGCTGGTAATAATTTTTCGTCAAAAATTGTATTGCTGGTAATAATTTTACCAAGAATGTATTGCTGGTAATAATGTATTGCTGGTAATAATTTTTCGTCAAAAATTGTATTGCTGGTAATAAGTTTTCGTCAAAAATTGTATTGCTAGTAATATTTTCCCAAGAATGAATTACTGTTTATAATGTATTGCTGGTAATAATTTTTCGTCAAAAATTGTATTGCTGGTAATAATTTTACCAAGAATGTATTGCTGGTAATAATGTATTGCTGGTAATAATTTTTCGTCAAAAATTGTATCGCTGGTAATAAGTTTTCGTCAAAAATTGTATTGCTAGTAATATTTCTTTCCCAAAAATGCATTGCTGGTAAAATTTCTTCTTCAAAAATTTATTACTGGTACTATTTTTTTCAAAAATTGTATTGCTAGTAATAATTTTTTCCTTCAAAAATTCATTGTTAGCAATATATTTTTTACAAAAATGTATTACTGGTACTAAAACCTATTTTTACACTTCCATGGTCTTTTGACCTCCTTTTGGCGGTTAACTATTTCCTCATAGTTGGGATCCTAACATTTTCTACCACCCCGGGTCAGGGTGAACCTGCGAACATCAACAATTAAGAGGTGATTCCATGCTCCTCAAAACCTCCTGGTCAGAGGTCTTGCTGTCGGATGTAGTTTATCGTCATACCCAGGACGGCTATAGGTCAAGATACTTCTAGATTTGCTAGTAACGTTCTAAGAAAAGAGTAAACACATACAGTTTTGTATATTTGTAGCTGCAGAGTTCAAACTTCTTACTGGTTTGAGTAAGTCATTTATGTGTGAATGGTTTCTTCCCTTTATTTACAACAAAAAAGGTGACGATGCTTCTAATTGCTTTTAGTTTTGCTTGATTTATTCCTAACCTCTTCTTCTGCCTGTTGTCCATCTTCGAAACTCTATCCTTTTGATAATTTGCATCATCCTTTAATATCTGTTATTTTGAGTCGTTTATTAGACAGAAACCTCCTATTCACAACATTTCTCTCTCCAGCGCAATGATTCGGATAGATTTTCGGGATTTTCTTGCTTTCCAGTCAATTTGACCTTCAAAAATGTAAATGCAATGTCACTAGTTATCTTCTGTCTTCTTAATTCCTTTTTTTTTTATTGTTCTGTCTCCTTAATAATGTCTTTTCTCAAATTCTTTCACACTTAGTGCCACGAGGGCTTTATTGCACGACATGGGGTGAAATGCATAGTTATGGATATTTTACTTTAAGTTCTAGTGATAAAAAGTTTACATGAGAATCCAAAATATTAAACAAACAGGACTAGTATATTGCTGGACTAGGAAAAAATAGTTTTATTTAACAAGAACTGTAGGTACAATAAGGTTTCTTAAACTCCCAAAAAGTTCTAAATCAATTTTAATTTTACGTATACCAATATATATATATATATATATATATATATATATATATATATATATATATATATATATATATGGTAATAATTTATTACATGGAACTTTAAAGTGGTCTGTTTTTATTTAAATTATTTGCTCTGGATTTACGAGCTCTCTGGATTTTATCCTCCTTAGGTTTACCCATACGGATTACCTAGTTTTTCATAAATCAACTTAACTAACTATATATATATATATATATATATATATATATATATATATATATATATATATATATATATATATATATAGTACAGGTAAAAATCTGTTGGTATATAATCCAAGTGTGCCCTAATAATATAAAATATTAAAACTGATCCACAAAGAAAGCCCAATGGATTTACTATAACAGAGCATATAAATTACACAACAGAAAATGAAAAATAATTTTTTTACATATAATTAAAATTTTTTCGCTTTTTTTTAAGATTCCCTTTTTCGACATTCATTTAGTTTCATTTAAACACTTCATCTTTCTTATAACCCCATTTTGGGATCATAAGGTTAAAATCTGGGTTGAATATTTGGTGCTTCTTTCCTTTTAAGAGAATTAACTTCCGCCTTCTCATTGCCACTGACTCGAGCAGTGTGTCATGCCTGAGGCCTCGATATGGGTTGGCTCTGTGTCAATGTTTCAACTGCTAGTTTTGTTAAAATTTTTAATTTAAATCTCTACTTCCGACACAAATACAGTCCATCCTTCTGGGTTGAATAAGACAATATGAAATATGACAATGAAATAGACTATACCCCTGATGTAATTTTGGATTTCTCTGTTGTATATATATATATATATATATATATATACATAAATGTGTGTGTGTGTTTCTATATGCGATTAATACATTTTGTCACTTAGATGATTGATTATAAGTTTATTGTGTAAAGTAAACGCTTTACCATCGTTAGGCCATTGACTCTATCTATCTATCTATCTATCTATCTATCTATCTATCTATCTATCTATCTACACACTTATGCATGTGTTTATATAAGAGGATATTTGCCATTTTGTTCCTTTGCTTATTCAAGAGGAACTTAACAGCAGGTGATTTCTTTTAACACAGAAGAGAACAAAGTGTTGATCTTTACTGTCCTGTACTTCAGTTCCTCTCGTAATGCGCATGCTCACAAGTACTGGATGAGCACGTATGGCTGCAATATGACACCAACATAGACATATCAACCAAATACAAATATAGAAACAATAAAAACAATCCCATAAATTTAATGTTATTTTATGCACACTGATTTATTTTATTATTTAATATATGATATTTAATGTTTTATTTCCGTATTCTTTAAACAAATTCGTGAAAGTAATAATCTACAAATAATGGCAATAAATGACAAATAATACAAAAATTAAATAAATAATACAAATAAAATATATCACAAATTTATATATAATAAAATAATATATAATATATATATATATATATATATATAATAAATAATATAAAATAATCTCTAAATGTGTAAATGTTGAGCAAACCGATGAAAAATAAACAAAAGGAAAAAAATAAACCCATTAAGATTCGAAACCTCTCCTCAGCAAATGCGAAGATAGGTCATTCAGGTTTTGAAAGTTCAAATTTGGCATCTTCTTATTTAAAACATTTGAAATGCCTCCAAACACATATGAAGATTTTACCATCGGGATATCTCTTGTGAAAAAGGCAGGAATTATTGGCTCGGGACATTGATAGTTATAACATTAATTCATGTTGTCTCCAAGAAACCCAAAACAAAGACGGATTTGATATGAATATCGCCGTAAGACAGCACAAGTTAATAGCTTTGGAAACAGAGAGTAAATATTATGGAAATGTTTTTACAATCGATACGAAATAGAAGAATATCTCCTATAGATATTATACGGACAATCATCATATATATATATATATATATATATATATATATATATATATATATATATATATATGTGTGTGTGTGTGTGTGTGTGTGTGTGTGTGTTTATGTATGTACAGATGTTTAAAGAACTTGGAAACGATTTAACAAATGACAGAAATACAAAAGCTGTATACCAAAATCTAAATAAGTAAGCAAGAAATTATATTAGAAACAGAGAAAAATATTTTGAAAGGCTATGTTGAAAGAGTGTTTGAAAAATTTAACACTCACAAGACAAATTAATGTTAAGATGGATAGACTGAAGCATCGAGTAACCTATATGAATAGTTTATGTTAGAATAGAGGCTGGAAAGTTTACTAAAAAGACAAGGACAGTTGTGGAGAAACTTGGTCGCTCACGTTCTGAAGGTACCCAGCATATAGATGAAGAAGACAATGGGCAAAAAAAGGCAGCAACCGAAGGAATTAGGTAAGCAGAATCTAGTATGCTATTGAATAGAAAAAATGGAACTGTATGATAGAGATACTTAAATGTTTGCTATATTTATAAGGGAAGATTGTTCAACATGGGTTATTATGTTGGTGATTATACATATAGACAGTGCGAACATAGGAATCAACACTGCATGGTGACTGTCAGTTTTTACGTTTAATGTTCGCTTTTTCTGAAGATTGCTTTGAAGTGCGTAATTTGAAGCCACTACGAAATTTCAAATATTTTTTCCATCGTCTGTCTATCTATCTATCTATCTAGCTAGCTAGCTATCTAGCTAGCTATCTAGCTAGCTACATTTATTATCTAGCTAGCTAGCTATGTTTATTACCTAGCTAGCTACCTCGCTATGTCTCAGTTTTTTCACACCTATCTATCTATCTATCTATCTATCTATCTATCTGTCTGTCTGTCTGTATGTATGTATGTATTTGTGTGTACGCACAATGAAAAATATCTCCCAGACTTCCAGAAGCAATCAGAAAGAGCGGAATATCATATTCGACAAAAGAAATGGCGATAGTCAAATGACACCAAACTGTTATCATGAAACCACCGAAATTGCGAGAGGAAACAGTCTCAGTCAGTCAGATATGAAAGTTTTCTTCTGATAGTTGTCAGAGAAGCAGAATCCAAACACGCGTCATTCTGATTAGTAAGATCTTAATCTGATAAAAGCGAAATACCTATTTTCATTCTCAATAAATCAGCAACGATAAAAAACACAGATTAATTGAGCTTCATAAAGATACAAGATCTTTTAACCATTATTAATTATCATCAAATACTTTAGTCATGCAATAAAATCCGTTAGATTGTGTTTGGATTAAATTTAATCATAATATTTGTGCCGAATCATTACGCGTTTAGGCTTGGTGGTACTGTCAGGATAATAAATGACTTATTTTTATAGTTTTTTTTATTTTCTCTTTCATTGTGGGAGGAGTTCGTGACTCTCTCTCTCTCTCTCTCTCTCTCTCTCTCTCTCTCTCTCTCTTTCAGTCATTGGCGTGTTTTTTTCACAGTGTAAGTACGTAAAAATTCACCTTTCTTTCAACCGATGGTTTAGGGGAAAATCTCCGGCTTGAACCCGCTGATGATCTGTGATACAGCGAAACATTCTGTCTGTGGATGACAATATATACGCAGTATATTCGGTTGTGCACTCTAGGAGGATGCGAAATTTTTGACAATAGCTATAAATACTGATACCACAAGGCTCTACTCCATCGCTGAATTGAGCACTCTCTGTCATTGCCGTGTTTATTCACAGAGTAAGTACGTACAGATTCGCTTTTTTCCAACCACTCGGCCACATGCCCCCCCATATATATATATATATATATAAGAAAAAAGGAAAATGTATTTTATTTTATATTTTTTTAATGAACTAGTTATTATTAAAACTTAGACAAAAATTTTTGAAAGTGCGAATATTGAATTTTGCCGAATATTAGCTTACACTCTGGAAAAGAAATATTCCGCTCTCAAGCCAACTTACACGACCATATTTTTTTGTTAAATTAAAAGAAAACAGTAAACATAAGACCTTAGAATTCAAAAACCACAAAAAACAACTGCAGCATTTACATACTTTCATCTATTAGGCAATAAATTACAACACTTAGTAACTTCCATAGTTTAGATTTCCTTACGCAACAGGCTTTAAGAATATTTTATAGCGTTCTCAAATTCAAAATTTGAAAATGTAACGGTATATTCCTGCACGGTTCTTCTGTAGATAGATAAAAGTTACGAATTAATATGTCCATGTTTACAATTATAATGTTCCCCAATGAACGAAACGAGTTGGTATATTAAAATTTTTCTTTTCTTTTCTCTCTCTTTTTCTTTTATTCATATTGTCATTACATAGAAATTTTATTTATATCTGAATTTTTACACACACGCACGCACGCACGCTGACACACATGCAAGCACGCACAAACACACACACACACACACACACACACACACATATATATATATAGATTGTCTTTTTCCAGTTTTCGAATAAGGTATTAAGTATTGTTGTGGATACACTGTCCAATGTTCATATTTTGTTATTTTTTTTCAAGTGATAAGTACTAGAAGGAGACATGTTGGAGTAATCAATACCGGCTCGGATGGAGGAATCGGAGAGCCGAGTTCGAATTCCAGTCGAATCGATTACATACACTTACGTGCTAATATCTTTCTTCTCCCCACAGCTATGGATGGCAACTGTTTTACTGCAGAAAGAAATGGCAATCTACTACGGGAAAAAAATTTTGCCGATGCAAAGATACATGATCGCCTTAAGCGTGTATCGCACATGGCACATAACTGACTGATTTAGAACTGATATGGTATTTGTGTGGTAGCTAGGTTTCTTTTTTCTCTATTCTGGTTTTCTTTGGGAAGCTGGATATTTGAAATGGTCCATTTTATTCTTTTTCTTATAATTAAGAATGTGAGCACATTAATTACATAATAATCACTTTAAGATCCTTTCTTCTGTGGTGAATGATATTTGATTTAATGCAAGCTCTTTATTTTGAATAATAATATCTTCTAGAATATTTTTTTGTCTTTCCTTGTTTTTATTGGAGCTTCCGTCAAGAAGTGCAACATGCCATTTCCAAATTTCTGGCGAAGTAAATTGCGTCATGGTGTTTTTTTATTTTTTCTCACAGACGGTGCCTAACTGAACTACTACACTGTGAAGTCGACAAAATCAAAAATAAACAACACACATACGCGAAATTAAAATAGAAAATGGCGAGAATTTACCCATCGCAGCCTGTATGTTGATATTATCTACTAGTGTATCCCTTATATTGATAGCTGTAGTCTGTCTTCTCAACGGACTCATTCAACTTATACAGCGCGGCAATTCTGAGAGAAGTGGAAATTCTACCGGGATTCATCATTGGAGGTCACAATCTTAACAAGATACGCAGATGACACAGTGCTGATAGCAGACACTGAAAAGAAATGACAAAACCTCCTACAGAAGGTAGCGAAGGAGAGCAAGCAGAAGGGACTAAGCATAAACTACAAGAGAGAATACATAGTAGTCAATGAAAGGATAATTTTGAAATGCGATTTACAGCTCGGAGACACTAAAATCAAGCAGGCGCGGGAATTTAAATGATTCAGAAGTATTTTGACAGAGGACGGTAATTGCGTAACTGAGATCCGTAGACGTATTTGGGATGGCCAAAGACGCATTTCAAAAGCTAGGCAGAGTATTACGAGACAGAAGAATTTCTTTGATAACGAAGAAAAATCTACAGACCTGCTACGTGATATCTGTCCTCCTTTACGGCAGCAAAAGCTGGACGTTCTCTTCAAAGGTGAAGAAGAGACTTGAGGCAACGAAGGTATGATTCTACAGAAGAATGATATCATGAACCGTGCGAGTGAGCAACGATGAGGTTTTGGAGAGTATGAAAACAAGGAGGAGGCATATACTTAACATCAGAAAGAAGCAGCAGGGACACATAATGAGAAAAGAGGGCTTGGAGAATCTGATACTCAAAGGTCGAATAGAAGGAAAGAGAGACAAAGGAAGGCAAGGAATGACATACCTAGCGGGCTTGAGCCGGTGGATGACAGAAAATGACCTGAGGAAAGTAGCATTGGGATAAAACGTATTGAGAGATACAAGGGATAGGGTGAAGTGGAGAACCATGATCGCCTACGTCCTGAAGGGACACGGCGAATAAAAGAAGAAAGAAATTTGTAGTCCATGATGTTCTGGTCGATATGAGCACGACTTGCACTAAATTTATCTCATTTCCGAGTATGTCTTTCTACGAAGCTCATTAGTAATTACCTGAAACTAACACCAAATATTCGACTAGTAGATTATTATGCGAATGTACCGAGAGGATTTTAGTTACAGTTCCCAGGGGACATCGCATAATCCCAGTGGTCGGACGATGTCAGTATGCTCATACTCTGAATCACACCAACTGACGGCTTGGGTCAACCCGCGGTATGGTTGTGAGGCCGACAGAGATCGCGATATTATGAAGAAGACAACTCCGTATCACACCGACCAAATTGAGATTCGTGCCCGGGTCTCATTGTCAGAACGCTGAAGTTCTAACCTCACCCACATTAAGCATATATATGCATACATACTTAAATATTCAAGATATTAGAAGATAGGAGTCGGTAGAGATGGATTAAAGCTTCATCAACAATGGCAGCCAAAATTCGGACGGGAGAAGAATCTATTGGAATAGAACTTACGGTTATATTTAATTATTTCAAAAGTAAAACGGTGAGACCTAGTATATATATATATATATATATATATATATATATATATATATATATAATAAATATATCATATATCATATATATATATATATATATATATATATATATATATATGTATTGTGTATATATATATATATATATATATATATATATATATATATTTACTATATATATATATATATATATATATATATATATAAAGTAAAGATATATGTAAATTAGCTTGTTACTTTATCACATGGTTAGGGTTGTTACTGAGTTCCATTTGAGCTATCTATTGATCAGTCGGTCGGTATTATTCTGTCAGTAAATATCTTTGTTTCCCAGTGTTATATCTATCTATCTATCTATCTATTTATAATTGAGTGCTTCTATCTCACCTTCTCTGAAATATATATATATATATATATATATATATATATATATATATATATATATATATATATATATATATAATCTCTCGACTCGCAATTATTCGCTTTATTAATACGTGAATGTAGAAATATACACACTGAGACACGACGTATATCCTTACATGCATATAAAACATGTACCCTCGATGCAAAGTTTTATGTTATCTTCTCCCGCTCTCTAAACATTTATGTATTAACACAGATTTCACAAACAAACCCAAAACTACTCACGCGTATATATGCGTATGTGTGTACGTATGCCCCCATAGAACTATTCAAATAACTATATTCATCAAACTGTATATATATATATATATATATATATATATATATATAAACATGCATATGTAGAAACATATAAAACATATATATGTGTGAGTGTGCGTATATATACGATGTATGCATATATATATATATATATATATATATATATGTGCATATATATATATATATATAAATATATATATGCATATATATATATATATATATATGCAAGTATACTTATGTACAAACATACAAACATATATATGTGTGTGTGTGCGTATATGTACGATGTATGCATATATATATATATATATATATATATATATATATATATATATATGTGTGTGTGTGTGTGTGTGTGTATGTATCTGTATAGAAATATATACAGAGAAATAGTTTTACGACTCAGAAAAAAAAATTGTTATTGATACGAAGTCGATTTTCGTAAAAGATATGAGAGAAGAGAAAAAACGAAGCCAAATAGGAGGCTGGAATGGAAAAAGAAGAAAGTGGCAAGGCACATGGCGACGGTGCGCGGAGTTGTAATGAGTCGTTTTCATTACCTTTCAAAGGTGAATCTCATAGCAGCGAAGCGGCTTTGAAAGGTAATGGAAAATAGAACGTATCAATGTGATTACAGGAATCGGTGAAAGCAAAGATTTAAAGCCAGCGTAAAAGCTCGACAGGAATGGCGAGGGACGTTGAAAGGGGGAGGAAGGCAGAATCAGAGATGCAGGTAATAGGGGGAAGGAGGAGGAGGAGGAGAAAAGAATAGAAACCGAAAATTAAACCTCTCTTTCTTCGGCTTAACTTCGCGTGCTTATCATGTTACAAGATATAATCTCACCCCACATCGAGTCGTCACTATTAAAGTAGAACATTCTCTGGCATCTATCTATCTCTATCTATCTATCTATCTATCTATCTATCTCTCTCTCTCTCTATATATATATATATATATATATATATATATATTATCATTGGTATATATATATATATATATATATATATATATATATATATATATATATGTATATCCCAATGATATATATATATATATATATATATCCAATGATAATATATATATATATATATATATATATATATATAATTTGATGTTCATGGGGCAGCAGTAGGTAAAGACAATGGTAGAAGGCGCCACAGTACTTCGACGTTGTGGAAATGCTTAGACCTTTATCAGCTTTCAATATATAATGTCACACTACAGTAACTCTGCTTTATTAGCGTAGGAACTTTTCAGTCATACATATACCCCACACACACGCGCGCACACACACACACACACACATATATATATATATATATATATATATATATATATATATATATATATGGATAGATAGATAGAGATAGATAGATAGATAGATAGATAGATAGATAGATAACTCCAAAATTCACTAAAAAACCGATACATGATTAAAAAAAAAACCAGAAAAACCTAATAACAGCATTTTATCGACAAAATCTTTATGTTATTAAGAAGAATAAATAATTTTTTAATATAAAATATTTTTTATCCTTTTTAGAACCGATGAAAGTTTAGTTAAAATTTTGTTTTTCTGGCCTCAATGTGTGACCATAAATTTGTAAGGGAAATTTAAACATCTTTTTGCGGCATTGATTTTGAAATTATTGCATTTATTCGGAAATGAATGACATTAAATTTTCTTTCTTACCTTTTGGATCATCATGAAAATATTATTTTACATCTGTTACTGCTAATCATTTATTTTTTTTTTTAAATTTCGAGAGTTCTTTTTTGTATCTCTGAATATATATATTAATTATAAGGACATATCCTTGGAGGATGTAAATCATCAAATTGTTTTACTCAACCAGGACTCTCATTTACAAAACATCTAATCCAATTATAATCGTAAAATAAAAAATGCTTTGAATTGTTTTTTTATGAATAAAATATATTATGGACACCACTGACTGAAATAAAAATTTATAAGTAATTATTTTTAACAGGAATTATTT